TTGGAATGACGATTATTGTTTCATTTTTATCCTTTACTCTCTTTACAATAGCATTTGCAATACACGCCATTCATTAAGCAGTGCCGTTACACAATATATATTTTATTTTGATGAAATTATTCCCATTTGGATATCTGAATGCACACAAAGTAATAATCTACATATTTCGATGATATTTTCAATTGAAATCATTGAAAGTCGAGCAACTTATTTTTGTTGTTACCCACTGAATAGACCAGTTTAAATGATTTTAGTTAAATTAATCTAAGCCTTTCTCCGCGTACATAGAATTGCTTTGAATTTTCACAAATTGGAAAGTCTTATGCACTAAGTGGTAATCAATAAAAGTGACTGATTATTTGATGGTATGAGTAAGGGTGATATTAAGAGAGACTACCAAAGGTATGTATAATTGATGAAACATTATTTACATTTGACTATCTCGATATACCTGTATCTCTGCATCGTCTCCGAACGTTTCGTATATCTCTTATGAACACTTCCATGTCACTGAGTACTTTCTTATAGGCACATCAAGGTCACCGGATGCGTTAGTACCTAGTACGCTATGTTTATATGTTATATTCTCAAATAAAGACTTAAAATTCACTCATAATGAACTGGTGTTGTGACGTAGAAAAGTAGTCAGAGTACGGTCATCGGCTAAACCAAAGCAAATATTCATCAAACTAAAATATTTTTAAATTCATCAATCGAACCACCTATACAACTGACGAAGCGTAGTTGTCGCGTGAGAGATAACTTCAAGCGATGATAGTTCTATAATCATTGATCCCGTAATTTTTATGTCATAGTGAACTTTTTTTGTTTTTGATAATGGCCACTGAAATGTTCACTCAGAGTTTAGTGATTGATTGAAATTGAGAACGGATTAAATGAGTTGTGTGAACAAAACGAGTTTAATGAGATGATGCGATTGAACGCATCGATTGAACTGAAAATATTTATGCAAATGAACTTGCGCTTATTGAACACACAAACACACATACGTGTTGTTATGAAAATCTGAATTTGCTTATCAATAAGTTTGTTTGCTTAATCAACACACATCCAATTACACACGTATGAGCAGAAGAACGTGTCGCATCGAAATGAACGAATGAATACGCAAACTACATCCTCCATCTGTATTTTGTATCTTTCGGTACAGTGTGAATTTTGTTATTCCTAAACTGCAAACAGACAAGTGGAAGTTCTGGATCAAGCATGTTAACAATATTAGCATGCGTTTGGTTCATTCATGAGTTGCACTGAAAACTGAATCGCATTTGAAGCGTGACACTAACCTCAATTCTGAACCGTGGAAAAAATGCTGTCTCATAGATTCTCCATAGTTCTCCGAAGGGTTTTCCGTAATTACAGTGTTGTAGTTAGTGCACTGCAAATCAACAAAGAATTCCAATTGGAATGTATGGTATATGTGAGTGATTGATTGTATTATACTGTAAAAACCATTTATAAATGTGCATGAAATAATGCAAGAACATTTTTAAAGGCGTAAACTAGGTAACGATTGTCACGACAAGAAAGCTTATTTGCAAAAATGCGCGCATAATACAATGAGATGAAAGTATTGAGTACTGCTTTCGAAGGTATACGCATATCAAACGAATACTGCTTCCTTGCATGATCTCCTATAAGAAATCTTATGAAAGATTTCGAGAAATCAACTTTCGAGATGGAAAGAATCCCATCATGCAACGATTAAGGCAATCGCCCTTAGCAACAAAGACTACGTAACGAAGAAATATCAAAAGATCTTCATCTCAAAANAAAAAAAAAGACGATAGAAAGAGACTCGATGAATATGTGAATTGATAAATAAATTTAATAGGAGTATCCATAATGGAATTGGAACCTTTATTTTTGCTGAAAAATTTATGAATTTGTCGGGTTATTGACTTTGTGAAGTTTGTAGGGAAGAAGAAGCAATTAAACTGGATGGCCTATCGGTAGCACAAATGAAAGAGATACGAGCTAAAGCAGAGCAGTTCCAGTTTCAGGCTGAAGTGAACCGTATGATGAAGTTGATCATCAACTCACTTTATACGTATGTATTTTGGTAATTTGCTCAGAGCAGTTGTTGTTTCGTTACAAATGGGGAATTCCTTTGAGAAGTTGACGGTATGGAACAATTTGATAATGTGTTAAAATGTGTGTTGCATTTAAGAAATAAGGAGATCTTCCTGCGTGAACTGATTTCGAATGCGTCGGATGCATTGGACAAGATTCGACTCATCTCTTTGACTGATCCAGAAGCACTGTCGGCCACTGATGAACTCTCTATCAGAATAAAGGTCGGTTGAAATTGGACTTGTAAACATTTCAGTGGTAACAAAGAGTGTTTCGAATTTTGAGTCGATTCAAACTTCGGTGGATCTCATTAGTAAACTCTGCATTGTTAAACATGAACCTTAGCGAATTTTGCTAGTTCAATGAGAGGCAAACAATAGAATGAATACGAGATTTCGGACTTACAATTAGTGAAGCGATAAATTTTGCATTCTGGATCTGTCTCATTATTAATTTATTCACTTTGATTTGATTGATCGAAACGATGAAATTTTAAGGCCGACCGCGAGAACCATTTGCTGCACGTGATCGATACGGGTATTGGTATGACTCATGATGAGTTGGTGTCGAATTTGGGTACAATCGCACGTTCGGGTACTTCGGAATTCCTCTCAAAACTGCTCGATTCAA